GGTGGGGAGGGAGGCCTCCGCCCCCGGCCGGGCTTGGCGGGGCTGGCGGCGGACTCGGGTCCGGGCCGCGGGCTCCCGTGTCCCCCGGGCCGCCGTCCTCCTCCTTCTCTTCGCTTTCCTTGCGCGGGCGCCCCCTTCAGGTGAGGGTCGGCGCCGTCCGGCTGGCGGCCTCGGCCTCGGCACCGCGGCTCCCTCCCGAGGATGGTCTTCTCCCGGGTCACGTGCACCCATGTATATAAAGAAACACTGGCCTCTCCCGTACCCGAGAGGAGGTTTATTTTTTTTATAGAAATTGTAGTAAGACGCTCTACATTTGCAAAGCGGGGCGAGGGGTGGGGGGATTACTCATGTATAGAAGAGGTCCCTAAAACACTTGCAGTTGAAGTTGAAAAATTAGACGCGGCTGGTCAATAAACTAATACAACTCCTGGGTCGTTGCCTGCTTTGTATCTCAGCGTGTGAACTCCGTAATGTGTTGCTCTTGCTCTTTCAGACTTTAAAAAGGAGCGGGCACCTGCTGCTTTGAAATAATCCGTGAGGGTGGCGCTCCATCTATAGGTCTTGGCTATAAAATGCAGGAAAGACTGGGATTTTTAAGTTTCGACATTTGAAATATATTCAGTCTTCTTCACTGTTTTAAAAATGCATCCAAGATAGTCATGAACACACAATGGAGGAAAAAAGTGAGCGTGTAACAGAACTGCTATTTAACTATTTGGTTCCATTATATTTTGTTCAAATTCTCAAGTTGTTAAATATAATTTCTCTCCCAGAATTCATAAATAAAAAGCACAATATAAATTTGTTAAATGCTAAAAATTGTTTAATAAAGAAGAATTTAAAAAGAAATTCTCAAACGTAGAAAGATTGTGGAGCAAGCCATGGCTTAGGGAGGAGAAAAGAAAGAAATAGAATTATTGAAGATAACAAAGTGTCTAAAGTCCAGGCATCGGGAATCCCAAGATAATTCTTTTTTAGTAGGAGATTAGCGCAGAGTCTTTAATTTTCCTATAGGGGAAGATACTTCTTGAATGATTCATGTCCATGTGCTGGGTAGGAAGGTATGTGTTTTCATTTTAAATTTTGCCAGGCCATTCTTTTGATCCATTAACAAGATGAGAGCTATGAGGGGCAAAGAAATAAGAGTAAGGAAAGGTCTGATATTTACATAGTAGTTTACAGTTTAGAGTAGGCCCTTTAATTACTCATTCTGCCAGACTGATAATAATATCTGGTCCCTTATTGTAGGTGAGAAAACTGAAGGTCCTAGAGTGTAAAGTAACTCCTAAAACTAGTTAAGTGGCAGAATTAGGATTTAAATCCGGGTCTTCTGTCTTTGAATATCATACTCTTTTTCTTTGCACTTTATTCTTTCTCTGTTCAGTGTTATTTGGAGCAGCCAGCAGGTGGTGTAGTGGTTAAGGCACTGGATTCCCACATGGTTGATGGTGGTTTGAGTCCCAGACCTGGCAGTTTGGGATTCTCACCAGGGACGTGAGCCCAAAATCCTGAGAGGAGAATGGAGGAGAAGGGTTTGTAGTGTGGCCATCCCTCTGGGGGGATGTGTGAGAAATGATCCTCCCCCCCCCCATCTCTCTAGCAAGTGCATACTCCCTTTGTCAAAAATCTGAAAAAGAAAAAAAATATGTATTTGTATATATAGTTCCTCCCTCCACACACTTCTTCACATTCTTGTTTCCATCACATTTGCTCATTCAACAATAACTGAAGAATATCAGAATATATTTTACAATTTCTATTTAACATTTATTATATGTAAGACATATAAAGCTTTGTATTGATTCTTGATATATAGATTTAAACACTGATTCTATTATGAATGGAGAGTACAATCAGATAAGGAAAATGATAATTGTATAGAAAGAACTTACATATAACGCAAATGTAGAAGGAATGCTATTAGAGAGGTGCTTGTCATGTACTATGGCAGGTGAGAAATAATAAGGCCAAATAGGTTTGAATGAGGAGGGACTTATGATTTAGGTCATGAATTGTGGATAATTTAAATTTTTGAAAAGGAGAGTATTCTAAGTGCACAGAGAAAAAGAAGTAAAGTATAATCGAAGTAGGTAGATTGACTACTTTAGCACATGTGAAGGGGAGATACCAGATGTAAGAGGAGATTGATTTATGGCTTTCTCCTGTTCCAAGATCATGTATACTTTGATACTGTACTATTTTAATATCTTGGGCTGTCCAATGATGCAATTAACTGATCATTTCTTTTTGTTTTTTGATAGTTGGATATTTGGTTCGATTACCAAGGGGTTTTCGCTTGACTCAAGACTCGGTGAAAATAATTGGATCATCAGGTTTTCCAGGTATTCATAAACAGATACTCAATAATTTTTTTTTAAAGTGCATTAGAGAGCAGGTGCATTTGTGGGAGAGAGCAAGGAAAATGAGAAAGCATCCTCCCCCTCCCCCCCAATAGGAATGGTCATGCTGCAATCCCTTTTCTATTTCTCTTTCTGATATTTTGGGCATGCTTGCACACTTTCCCAGCTTGTTTTTCAAGCCACTGGGTCTGGGATTTGAACCGTGTACATTTAGCCATGAGGGATTGAACTTTCTTATCGCCATGCCCCTGGCTGGCCCTAAATTATATTTAGTAATTTTAAGAAAGTTATTAGTGTTTTAATTTTATCAGTCTTGTCCAAATAGCTAATATTTTCCAATTATCCATATCTCTTAAGGCCCTTTTCCTTCTACAAAAATGGATTAAAGGTTGTTTCCATGTGGTTAGATTCATCCAGGTCTAACTATGTATGATATAATTGCTTAATTGTACAAAGAATAATTGTTTTTCAGAGTTATCTAAAGACAATACTGTTAAGATTTAGAGTATTTGTGCATCTTATTATGTGATAATTATCTATAATGTTAAACACATGCAATTCAAATATGCTAAACATTTCTCCAGATAAGATCTATATATTACAGAGATTTGGATTTAAGATTTTGCAGTTGTTTTGTCTTCCACATGAGGCATAACAACCAACTGCAACCATTTTAGCCAATTTTTTTTGAGGTAAATTCACATGCCATAAAATTCATACTATAAAGTGTATAATTCATCTGTTTTTAATGTATTGACAAGGTTGGGCAATCTTTAAAACTATCTGATTTCACACTTTTATTACCTAAAAAACAATATATCCATTAAGCAAAAAGTCTCTAACCCTGAAACCACTAATCTACTTTCTATCTGTATTGATTTGCCTATTTTGTATGTTCATATAAGTGAAATTATACATTATGTGGCCATTTGTTTTTGTCTTTCACTTAGTATAACCATTTTGTGGTTCATTCATGTTATAGAATGTACAAATAGTTCAGCACTTTTTTTATAGATGAATAATATTAAATTGTACATGAACATATGTTTTCACCTATCTTGGGTATATGCCAAGGATTATTACATGTGATAACTCTATATGTTTAACATTTTGAGACATTATTTAAAGAACTTGAACTATTTTACTATCATACCAGCAATTTATAAGGGTTCAGATTTCAACATCTGCACCAGTACTTGTTATGGTTCATCTTTTTGGATAGTCACCATCCTGCTGCATGTGAAGTGATATCTCCTTGTGGTTTTTGGTTTGCATTTTGTAATGTACCTCTTCTCATGGTTTTATGACCACGTGGATATCTCTTTTACAGAAAAGCCTATTGTCATCCTTTGCCCATTTTAAAATTGGGTTATTCTTCTGTTATTATATTTTAGAGTTCTTATATATTCTGGGAATTAGATTATTATCAGATATATGATTTGCAAGGATTTTCTCCCATTCTGTGGATTATGTTTTCAGTTTCTCAATGTGTCTTTTGAAGTACATATGTTTTAAACTTTGAAGAAGTCTCATTTCTATTTTTTCTTTGCTACTGGTGATTCAGATGTAGTATTTAAGAAAGTATTGTATAATTAATTGTCACAACATTTTACTCCTATTTTTAAAATAAGAATTTTACAGTATTTCCTCATACATTTAGGCCTTTGATCCAGTTTGAGTTAATTTCTACATGTGCTACAAAGTAAAGGTAACACTCTATCATATGAGTAGCCAGTTTTAGTACTATTTGTTGAAGAGACTGTTCTTTCTCTATTCAACTGAAAGGCAGTTGGCTGCAAATGGATAGGTTTTCTTGTTTTTGTCTCTATCCTTATGCTAGTATATTGCTTACTGTCTTGATTATTGCTCCTGTATAGTAAATTTTGAAAGGATTAACTGTGAGTCCTTCAAATTTGTTCTTTTCAAAATTGTTTTGGCTCCTCTGGGTCCTTTGCAATTCTATATTAAGCCTAAATTTAACTTGTCAATTTTGCAAAGAGGACTACTGAGATTTTAATAGGGACCACCTTAAATCCATAGATATTTTAAGAGGTATTGCCATCTTAACAAAATTAAATCTTCCATGAACTCAGTATTCTCAAACCTTGCTGCTGCTTTTTTGACTGTTTATTTAATATTCTAAATATTTTGTTTTCATTTTATCCATTTTTGTAGCATCTTAATCAGGAGTAGATTTCATGTCAATAAATCGCTTCACTCATCCGAAAGAAGCAACTCAAGTTTTATCATGAGATTGTAGCAGTTCAGTTACATCTTCACGCTGGGCGTGTATGCATGCATGCCCAAAATCTTAAGAGGAGAATGGAAGAGAAGGGACTGCAGTATGGCCACCCTCCCCAAGAGGGTGATTTCTCACTTTCCCTCTCTCTGCCTCCTCTTGGTGAGCACACACACACTCTAGGGGAAAAACCTGGAAAAAAAATAAGTTGAAATTACTCATGCCAACTCCATGGCCTGGTGGTTAAGGCAGCTGGATCTCACATGTTTAACTGCCTGGTTCAAGTGCCAGCTCTGGTGGCTTGAAAATCACTACAGGTATGTGTTTGTGCATACCTAAAATTCTGAGTGGAGAAGTAGAAGAGAAAGAGTTGCGCTGTGAGCACATCCTACTGGGGAGTCCTTTTCCTTTCTTGCTCTTTTCTCTCTGGTGAGTGCACATACTCTGTGTCAGATTGAAAAAAAAAAAAATAGGCGAGGGCCAGCCTGTCACCTGGTGGTTGAGGTACCTGGACTTCACATGGCCAACTGCATAGTTCTAGTCCTGAACCCAGTAGCTTGTGAAACACATTGAACACATGTGCATGCATCCAAAAATCCTGAAAAGAAGGAGAGATGGAGGAGAAGGGACTGCAGTGTGACCATGCCCCATGGAGGTACTTTCTTGCTTGCTTTCTCTCTCTCTTTCTCTCTTTCCGGTGAATTCATGTGCAAATTAAACAAACAAAAAAAAAGTGAAGATTTTAGCTTGATCTGTGGAAATTAAATAACATGATTTACCTAATTAGGAAAATACTGAAGAAATTTTTTAAAAATTGAAAAAACTAATTGAATACAAATGAAAATGATACTACAACATATTAAAAGTCATGGGATATAGTGAAGTCAATACTAAAAGAAAAATTTGTAGCAATAATTGGGCACACCAGAAAAAAACAGAGTGATGACATATAAACAACCTATCAGTACTTCTCAAAGAGCTGGAATCTACAGCTAGTCTGATGGAAATTCTGTTACATATAACTTCATACTTTTCTCTTACTGCTTTTAAAATTCTCTTCTTGTCTTTGGACATATTAATTATAATATGTCTCAATGAGGACCTCTTTGGTTTGAATCTGTGTAGAGATCTTTAAACATCTTCCATCTGGATGTCTGTATTGCTTCCTACACTTGGGGAGTTTTCAGCTCTTATTTTCTTCTTCTTTTTTTTCTTTGAGTATTTATTGTAATTTATGATTTACCTATAATCACTATACACCTTTGTAAGGCATAGTATGGTTTTTAAAAGTACGTATATCATATGTAATAAATCGAAGATATATACATATTCACCACTTTCAACATTTAGCATTACATTATTTGTACACATTCAAAATTTACTAGTTATTTTGAAAGTGTATACTGATTTAGCAATGATGTTCTTTACTGTGAAATACAGGTCTAAAGAAAAACAAGGTGGATAAGAATCATAAGACAGAAAATTTCATAAATTAATGAGGATAAGTGTTTGAAACAAAGATAATCTTAACATGGCCAGTGTAAGAAGAATTTGTAATTTCCGTGTAGAGGATTGTGGGAGATAAGAGTTTATAATCTGTAAAGATATGTGGTATTGATCATTGGTCTAGTTAGAGTTATGTGAAATTGTATGTAACAATAGTTCATTAAGAAGAAATAAAGAAAACTTTTACTCACTGAATTCTTGTAAGACCATAGTATTCTACTGTGCATTAAAAAAAATCCTCAAAAGAGCAAAACTGAAGACAATTGGAAAGAGACGTTTAAAAGAGAAGACATAGTAAAATCAGTGGTTTGGTGATTTACAGGCTTTACAAAGTTCTTGATTTTATTTTATGCATGTTTGAATTCATTCCAAAGACTAAGCTACTTGTAACATTTTGGATTTTTCTTCTGTTATCTAGTTTTACACACTCAGTAACAGTTTAAGAGGTTTTTATTTATTTATTTATTTTTGCCTTAGGGAGAGAGAGACAGAAACAGTGAGCAGGAAAATGAGAAATCACCGCTTGGGGGAATGACCATGCCACAATCCCTTCTCCTTTCCTCCTGGGATCTGGAGTATGCACACACATGTACCTGCTGTAATTTTCAAGCCACCGGGTCCAGGACTCAAACTGCAGTTGGCTATGTGGGAATCCAGCAACTAACATCTACACTGTCTGCTAGTCTCACTGAGTAATAGTTTTAACAATATATTAATGTAATATGACATTTGTTTAAAAAACTGCCTATCAAGTAATTGGTGAATTTATAGTTAAACCTATTTGTATGTAAAATAGTCGAATCTGAGTTTTTAAGCTATTTAGTTGGGGCATTTAATCCTCACATTCAGTGTTATTTTCAATATGTGTGGACTTATTGCTGCCCTGTGGCTATACCCTTTCTTTTCTTTCTTTCTGTGTTTTTTGTTTTTTTTTTTTTTTTAACTGATTGTTTTGTGTTCTCTTCTATTTATTTCTCTTCGGTTTTCATTTTCCTGATATGGTATTCCCTTAAGTGTTTCCTGAAGCACTGGTTTAATTTTGGTGAATTGAGCATTGGTTTGTCTGAGAATGACTTCTCCTTCCCATTTGAAAGGTAATCTTGCCAGGTATAGTACTCTTGGTTGAATTTTATTTTCTTTCAGAGTTTCAAATATGTCTTCTCATTCTTTCTTTGCATGCATTGTTTTATTTGAGAGGTCCAATACTATTCTAATGGAGTAACCTTTGTATGTAACT